TGAAAGTTTGAGAAAAGATGCTTAATTTTGATTTTTTTGATCAAAATATCAAAATTAAGCATCTTTTCTCAAACTTTTAAGTAAAATAAAAATAACTCTATTAGTTAAATGTATTTTTGTGTGCTGAACAAATTTTATTAGTGCATAAAGTTAGAATTAATTAATAATATTTTGAGAATTTTAAGATTTTGTAAAATTTTATTAATAAAATTCTATAACATCTTAAATTTATCAAAATTTTATTAATTAATTCTAACTTTATGTACTAATAAAATTTGTTCAGCACTAAAAATTACATTAAACTAGTAGAGTTGTTTTTATTTTACTTAAAAGTTTGAGAAAAGATGCTTAATTTTGATATTTTGATCAAAAAAATTAAAATTAAGTATCTTTTCTCAAACTTTCAAGTAAAATAAAAACAACTCTACTAAATAAATATATTTTTAGGTTCTGATAAAGTTTATTAGTGCATGAAGTTAAAATTAATTAATAAAATTTTGAGAATTCTAAGAGTTTGTAAAATTTTATTAATAAAATTCTATAAAATCTTAAATTTTTCAAAATTTTATTAATTAATTCTAACTCCATGCACTAATAAAATTTGTTCAACACCAAAAAATATATATAATTATAATTAAACTAAATTATTTTTCAAACTTCAGACTGAATCCAGACTGAACTCCAATTAAATAAATATAATATTGTTATATAAAAGTTTTGTTTTTATATTGTTATTATATAAATATTTAAATTTAGACAGTGATGTTATAAACAGAAATACTGAAACTATGTTATTTATATTTTTATTATAGATACAACAAAATAGTAATTTCAGTTATCAAAGTGCATAAATATGTGAATTCTATCTACACTATGCTCCAAACAATAAAGTATTATAGTATTATAGTCTATAATACTATATTTACATTATTAATTTCAAATATCTTAGAATCTACTGGTCTAATTTTAATAATTTAAATATAATTAAAACCAGAAAAATTAGATCAACAACTTTAATTAAAAGTTTATAAAAGATTATCTTATTAAAAACTTCTTTAAATTTTAATTATATATTTTTTTAAAAAAATTTATAATTATATATAATATATATGAATATGGATATTAATATATAATATGCTAATTAAACCAACTTTTATAAAATAAAAAATTAAATCCTACATCAAATTAAGGTAAGGGTGCATTTAGAATTAGAATAAATTATAGTCTATATCAAAATTTTATAAGGAATTTTTTTGTTAAAATTCAAAAGGTGATTTTATAAATAAAAATTTAAGATATAGGTAATATTTTAAAAAGATATAATTTTACATTATATCTAATTTGCATTTTGATTGGCTCTTTATATTAACTATATATATACACAATATATACAAATAGAAATGCTTTTTTTTTAAATTTAGAAAAGCTTACAAATTAAAAAATAAATAAAAAAATCAAATTTTAAAAAATTAAATTTTATCTCGGAGCAACGCCTGGGTTTACAGCTAGTTATATAATAAATATATATTAATTATATTATAATTATATTATAATTATATTTTTAAAAAATAAATATTTCTGTAAAGATGCTTATTAACTATCTCTATAAATTTGCGATAAATATCGTTAGGCCATTCAACATTTGGTAAATGGTACAAGTCATCAAAAGCATCATCAAATGAAGCTCCTTTATAATCTTCAGGATCATTAAAAGCTTCATTTAATGAAGCATCTCTATGGTCTTTAAGATCACTTTCATTAAATGTATTTTGAGATACTTCGTCTTCCATCAGCATATTATCAATTAAAAGAGGATCCACTTTCATATAAGAAGGCTCATTTGGAATTAATTCAGATGAGATTGACATATTTTCGCTCTATATGAAAAATTATCGTTTTATACATTTTATAACTAATTAAAGATATATAATCAATTTACCTTATCTTTTGTAGCAGAATCATAACTAGAACTATTCTGGAAGATTCCAAATATCATCGTTATTATCTAAATATTCAGTAGAGGCTGTATTATTTGTTGAATCATGAAGATAAGAATATCTTTGTGAAATATGTTGTACTAATGCAAATGATTTTGAAAATTCTCGATTACAATGCTCACACTGCCAGTGCATTTTAAGAAAAAGCAAAAAAAAAAACAGAAAAAAAAGAAAAATAAAAAATTTTTTTTTCTTTTTCTTTTTTTATTTTATTTTTAAATATTTATAAAAATATATTATATTTTATATTTTAAAATTATTACTTATATTATTAATATTATTAAATATAATCTATATAT